CTGTGGGCCAGTGCATCCGTGCCGAGAGTGCCCTCGGTCAGGAAAAAGAACAACTGGCAATGAGCGTTTTCTGGGGGAGGCAAACAGATTGATCTAGGCCTCCCCGAATCGCGCCCATATCAGCTGAACAGACTCTGGGTGGAGTCTCCATTTTACAGAGTGAATCTGCTGCCGTTAGAGTGCATCGGTTGCACGGTTAAGCATACCTGGGATGTTAATGGCGCTCCTCGTTTTTAGCCGTGGGTGACTCCAGAGGAGCAGACGGCGGGCGAGCTGAGACATGCGGTGAGAGCGCGTACCCCCCATACGGTTGATATACGCTGCAGCCGCCGTACTGTCCGTCCTGACCAGCACATGTTGCTGCTCCAACACCGGAGAAAAACTGTGGAGAGCGAGGAACACTGCCAACAGCTCTAGGCGATTGATATGCCAATGCAGCTAGGCACTTTTCCACAGGCCCGCAGCTGCATGCCCGCAACACACGGCTCCCCAGCCCGTGTTGGAAGCATCTGTTGAGACAACAACATGACTGGACGCCTGTCCCAGAGGCACACCGGCCTGCAGGAACGAGGGGTCGTTCCAGGGGCTGAGGGTGCGGCGACACAGCGCAGTAACAGAGACTCGGTGTGTGCCCGCATCACATGCGTGTCTTGGAACTCGATCTAGAAGCCAGTGCTGAAGTGGTCTCATATGGAGCAGTCCGAGCGGCGTGACAGCCGCAGCGGACGCCATATGCCCCAGGAGCCTCTGAAAGTATATCAGTGGGACCACTACTTTGCTGTCGAGCTCCCTCAGACAGTTCAGCAACAGGTGAGCGCGCTCTCCGGAGAGGCGCGCTACCATGGTGACTGAGTCCAGCTCCATCCCGAGAAAAGAGATCCTCTGCACCGGGGCAAGTTGCTCTTTTCCCAGTTGACCAGTAACCCCAATAGGCGAAGATGCTGGAGCACCTCGTCTCTGTGCATAGTCAATTGCTCCCGTGAGTGGGCTAAATCAACCAGATAATTGAGTATGCGGATGCCCGCGAGCCGAAGGGGAGCTAAGGCACCCTCCGCGAGTTTTTGGTGAAGACCTGCGGAGACAGAGAGAGCCCAAATGGGAGGGCATTGTATTGCCATGCTCGACCTTCGAACGCAAACCGCAGGAACTGACGGTGGCACAGAAGAATGAAGACATGAAAATACGCGTCCTTGAGGTCTATAGCTGAAAACCAATCCTGAGGACGAACGCATCGGAGGATGCGCTTCTGCGTGAGCATTCTGAACGCCAGCTTGCGAAGGGAGCGGTTCAAAACGCGCAGTTCTAGGATTGGCCGTGACCCACCGCTCTTTTTGGGTACAATGAAGTACGGGCTGTAGAACCTGCTTTCCATCTCGGCTGGAGAAACTGGCTCGATTGCACCCTTCGCCAGGAGGGCAGCAATCTCCTCTCGCAAGACAGGGGCGGACAGGGGGTAAACCCTGGTGAAATACACGCCCATGAACTTGGGGGGCTGTTTCGCGAACTAAATCGAGTAGCCGAGTCCAATTGTGCGTATGAGCCACCGCGAGGGGCTGGCCCGCGCTAACCAGGCAGGCAGAGCCCTCGCTAATGGCGTCATTGCTACAACCGCTGACATACCAGAGTTGGGGCAGCGCGGAGCGGGTGTGCTGATCCGGAAAGCGCAAGCGTCCCGCGGAAGAGCTGGAGGAGAGCTATTCGCTCTGGCTTCGCACCCTGACTCCGGAGAGGGGGCTCGGGGGCTGGGAGAAAGGAGACCGTCACCCCGTTGGCGGAGCATGTAGACCCTGCAAGCTGAGAAGCGACGCATCCCAGACTGGCAGGGCTCCCAGTGCTCGTGAGCCACTGGTGGAGCGCACCGAACCTGCGAGCTAGAGAGCACAGTGTCTCAGACTGGCAGATTTCGGGCTGTCACATCTGCTTCCGAGGTGCTCGACGCGCTCGCTTTGCCAGAGGCATGTGCGGGGGCGGTGCAGCTCTCGTAGGTGGGCGCCTTCGGCGAGGAGCAGGTATGGATGGCACGGCGGGCGGAGCAGGCTTACGGACCCGCCGATAAGACATCACCCATCAGACTGCTCTCTCACCGCCTCGAATTCCTGGGTGAATTCGCAGACAGTGTCGCCGACCAGCTTGGGATATGGCTGAGTCAAGAAAGCGGACTTTGTCAACTTCGCGCATATCAGCCAAGTTTTAGTCAGGGGTGGCGCTCCTGGACCACTAGTGTGGACATCGTCCTCCCCAAAGCACACGCAGCGTATTTAGTAGTCCGAAGAGCTTAGTCGGCTGCGGTGCGAAGCTCATAAGCCTGGGTTGGACCCACCCTCGTGCAGCTCGACCAGCGCCTGCGCTTGGTAGCGCTGGTAGGTGGCTATCGCATGCAGACAACTGGGGTGGTTTGCCCTTTTGCAAAGGCTAGCCGCGATCTTTACTGCGCAGTCATAGCATCGCAATGACGACATGAACTGCCTGCGAGCAGCGCATTAACATGCTGGAGCATGTAACGCAGTGCCCGTGCCCATCATCCGAGGACAGAAACAAACAGCATCCAGAAACGCACCTGAAAATCCTGAAAAGGACGTGCTGCACGACTGTGTTGCTCTCTTTGTGAAGTTGCAACTTTATACGCGCCGCTCTGAAGGACCGGACCCAAAGGATCGCCTGGCAAGGGAGAAAACCCAGCTCGACCGTCTGCCACTGCGTTGTACACACTCTGGACCGGGAGAAGATCTCGTTCGCTCGGCATCGCTGGATCACAGCAGGAGGAACCCTCATCGACTCGATCAGAAAAGTCTCTGAAGCGAAAAGGATGGCGTTTGCTGGCGCCAGGTGTGCTTATATGCTCAGTTAATTAGCAATGCAGCACACCTGCGCAAGCTTATGCTGCCAGTTCATTGTTTTCATTGGCCCGTTCAATACTCATTCAGACAAGCGGCTTCTAAACCGAAACCTCCTATACGTGGATTTAGAACATCAAATCCACTTATAGCACTGGAGTTCCCCAACCGAAGGGGAACATCTTTTATGTAAATCTTAAATATTGTCAATAATATAACAATTTCACGTTGTGTCAATTAAATATTTTATTTTCTCTGTTAAATGTAAAGGATTTAGTAATGAAACTATTTTTTAATTATTGTGGTTTCTTTAATTGAGTAAAAGGAATTTTTCAGGATTTTTTTTGTTCTGTCGTTTATGTTAGTACTGTATGTTTATGTTAATATGCTTTGGTAATCTCTCCATTGATTGGCACATTTAGGGGTGTGGTTAAGAACACACCTTTTTTTGAAGTCTTACATTATAGTATGAAGACATCATACATTTTCAATAAGATTATAGGGACTTTTTTGCCAATCTATAAAATAAAGTTGGACTGAAAGTTAAATTGACAAGAAAAACTGTTATCATTTGGAAACAGTGTCATGTGCGTAGTTGAATGAAATGTCCTGTCTTTTAATAATTATTTGTGAACCTTAACAAGTAGAACAAATGTAACCTAAACTGTAATCCAAATGTAAATATCATCTAAAAAAGTAAAATATATACCAATTGCACTGAATCACTGTGCCATTGCAGTTATATGATGTGTCACTAACAAAGTTCAGGGAGAGCATGAGCAGATTATTAATCAATTTAGCACAGATGTAAAACGTTTAGCTCATCATCTTACTAGCACATTGTGTGTATAACTGTCCAACTCACTCACCTCTACTCTAAAAAATGTATACTTCTGGCATCCCTCTTTCACCCTAACTCCTCACATTATTCACTTCATCTACACTACCTGACAATATCTTGTCGTGTATCTAAGTTTTAGAAACAACAAATAATACATTTTCTTCTAGTTGATAATTTCGTATCAAAAGTAGCTTGTATGAAAGGCAAAGACCTCTCGATTACACTTATTTTACCAAAATAAAATGTGATCATGCCTTATTTTTTTTATTATTTAATAAGTAGAGTAAGGTCTGACTTTGCTTAGACTAAAGTCCTGTCACTTAATAAAAATAATGTACAGTATAGAATATACAGTCATGGTGCAGGGGAAAAATTGTTAAAATTGTGTATGACTCCCATGAACTTGGAGGACTGCATCCATACATCTCTGCAATTACTCAGATAACTTATAATATAGTCATCTGGAATGGCAAAGAAAGCATTCTTGCGGGACTCCCAGAGTGGATTTATCGTCAATGCCTCCTCCTTCATCTTACTCTAGACATGCTTAATAAGGTTCATGTCTGGTGACTGGGTTGGTCAATCCTGGAGCACCTTGACCTTCTTTACTTTCAGGAACTTTGATGTGAAGGCTGAAGTATGAGAAGGAGCGCTATCCTGCTGAAGAATTTGCCCTCTCCTGTGGTTCGTAATGCAGCGGGCAGTACAAATGTCTTTGATACCTCAGGCTGTTGATGTTGCCATTCTCTCTGCAGATCTCTCGCGCACTCCCATACTGAATGTATCCACAAACCATGATTTTCCCTTTACCAAACTTGACTGATATCTGTGAGAATCTTGGGTCCATGCAGGTTCTAATAGGTCTACCTTCTAACACTTTTACAAATAATCAACTAGAAGTTATCAGTTAGTCAAATTATTTGTTGCTCTTACAACTCGGATCGATAACAAGACTTTTGTCAGGTAGTGTATTCTTATCCCACGCAAGGGATGGGGTAGGAATGGGGGTCTCTGGTTTGGGCCGTGTTCCAAGCTCCGATGCCTCCCACAGGACAGCATGCCAAAATATAATATAATTTCCCTAATAAAACAAAAAATCAAAGTCTTGTTACACCTTATTTTCATGATTACCCTAAACATGCTTTAACTATAAATAACTTCTCACCTATGTTTGTAAATTAGTGAATTACTTGAGTATTAGGTTGGACTTAGTAGTATATGCGGACATGTAATTCCAAAGTTACTTAAGTACAACAGAATATCTAAAATGGGATCATTAAAGTAAACTATTAATAATTACAATATAATTATAATGTCTGTTTTAGAATGTAACTTTGAGGAGCATCACTTGTGTGGCTACAGTAATCAGTGGAATCCCAATGTGAACTGGTATGTGGGTGGCAGTTTGGTCCGGGACCCTCGGTCAAATCTTCCAGATGACCACACCATGAACAATGGGAGAGGTAATGCAGATGGACAGAAGCATTTCATGCTGCACAATAGGTCAAGAGCTGGAATAAATCACACCAGGCTCTCCAACAGCTTTTCATAACCCACAATTCTATAGCTTGCTCTCCTACCAAAATGAATGTGCTGTGTGAATCCGTTCTTTATTTATGTTTTTTTTTTTTATTTTGTTTTCCACTCTAATCTAGGTCACTACATGTATGTGGACTCAGTTTATGCTAAAAGGTTTCAGGAGGTGGCAAAGCTGGTGTCTCCGATGACCACCACTCCAATGACAGGGTGCTTGTCCTTTTACTATCAAAGAGACCAAGCCATTGGGAATTTCTTCTCTGTGTTTACTAAGGACCAGCTAGGCCACTATGAAGAGATATGGAGGCCTGATGTTTATGCCACATCAAGTTGGAAGTTAGTGCAAGTGGATATTAAGGCAACACATCCTTTAGAGGTCAGTGAAAGTTTGTTTTACAAAAAATAAATAAAAAATAAATAAATAAATAACAAATTGCATCGTTTCATTGTGCAATTTCTAGCTGATTTGATTTTTATCACTCGATTGAATTGCAGTTGTCAGTAGTTATCAGCTGATAAATAGGGGCCAGAAGGAGTCTTCTGTGCCTACTAGTAGGTTCAGAAGGCTGTTATCATCCATCCACATGATAAATCAGCTATATATCACATACGGCTGCAGCAGGAAGTTAACGAGAATTTATTACATTTGTCATTAATTATATTTTATTAACGTCTACCCCAACCCTAAACCCAACCATCACAATAATGTAAAAACAAATCTGGATCTGGAGTATTCTCTGATTAACCACGAGAATTGTTTTTATTATTCATTAAATTTCCCAATAATTTTTTTTAATTGACGTGTACCCCTACTCCAACTCTAACGCCCGATTTACATGGAACTTCAGCACGAATGATTGACAGGGGGCATGTCTGAAGATGGGGCTTATGTGACCATCATAGCAGCGTCAGCCAATGAAATTAATTAGCAATCGACTACTGACTTAGCTGGTGTATTTGCATAAAGGAATCTGATTGGCTGACGCATCTGTTGGCACTTCAAAAGTTGAGAAATCCACAACTTCTGCATCGAGCAATGATGCTGAAGTGGCACAGATGAATCCACAATACAGTTTGGCAACACCTGACGTCACCCATTCAAAGTGAATGGGAAGCGTTGTTGCTGACACCCTGTGTTAATGGGGTGTAAACCCAACCGTATGTAATGTAAAAATCTGGATCTAAATTCTTTTCTATTAGTATAGCTGATTAACCATGAAAATTATTTATGTTATTTATTAAATTTCCCATAAATTGTATTCTATTAACATCTACCCCTACCCTAACCCTAAACCCAACAGTAATGTAAAAACAGATCTGGATGTGGAGTTTTCTCTATAAGACTAGCTGATTAACCATTTGGATGGATAATAAAAGCCTTCTGACCCTACCAGTAGGTGCAGAAGGACCCTACTGGCCCATATTAATCAGCTGATAACCACTGATAACGGCCATTCAATCAATTGCTAACATTCAAAATTGGTGTAATTTCAAGTGAAAGTATATCATTGAGGCCAAAAAAGTTGACTTTTTGCTAATATTGCTCATTGTGTTCTCCTTAAAGGGTTACATTACAGAACATAATAATGTGTTGTGCCCCCTTCACATTATCAATAAAAAATTATTGGACTATGTTTTAAAAGGTTTCATTTATTTGCAGAAATCCTGTACATGCCCACAGAATACTAAGTAAATGAAAGTGATGCATTTCAAGTTTAGTGTATTTTGTGTGCATTATTCAGAAAATAACACTCGATTTAAAGCAATGATAGCCAACTTGCTGTCTGTTGACAGTAATCCCTCTTGTTTTGTACTGTTGACATGACCATTTATTGATATAAAGCTGCTTTGAAATAATCTTTATTGTAATAAGTGCTAAATAACAGTTGGTGACTTGACAAAATAATTAAACAATTATTTTAACCATCGACATGCTTAAGTATCCTGAGCATGTCTGTGGCTAGAAGGATTGTTTAATTGTCTAATTGTCACCTACAATTATATAGCACTTTATAAAATAAAGTTTATTTAAAAGCAGCTGGTGTTATTAAGTCCAGCAGGGGGTGCTCAACCTGCGGTCTGTGTGAGTCCTAATGCCCCAGTATAGTGAAGGAGACACTGTACTGTCAGTGAGCATCGTCTTTCGGATGAGACATTAAGCCGAGGTTCTGACTTTCTGTGGCCTCTCAGGCCTCCCAATTATCCCCATCCACTGACTTAGCTCTATAACTGTCTCTCCACTCCGCCTATAACTGGTGTGGGGTGAGCGTGCTGGCACTGTTATCCTGTGTCTGCCGTTGCATCATCCAAATGGATGCTGCACACTGGTGGTGGTGTAGAGGGACCCCTTCCCCTCGTGATTGTGAAGCATTTTGGGTGTATGGCCAAATACGATAAATGTGCTATATATAAATACATTACATTACATTACATATTTTTAAAATTATGGACTATGCAGTGTAACTGGCCAGGTGATTCTATTAACAAAATTTAATAAAATTTAAATCTACTTTTTTTTGTGTATTTCTGAATATTTTCTTATATTTTGATAAGATTAGAAATGATTTATAATTTGTATGCAAACAAAATGTACTGTACATTACTGCACATTCACATGTTAACTTTATCCTTAAGTAAGCTTTTGTTTAGAACAGATGGCTTGTCTACTTTGTAAATCTTACACGTTTTAACTACCCATGATATACTAAAGCCATTTGTAAGTACCCTGGCTTAAAGTGCTAGTATACACTATAACACTATCCAAACATGGCTAGCACCTATTTATAAAAGGGGCCTACTTTTATTGCATGTGTATGCTTGTGTCATATTATAGATGGCAAGTTTTAGTCAAACAAATATAAATGAATGTTCGTTACACACCTTCAGTAGATTAATGGCTAACAGCGTTTGCAATCATTTTCAACTGCAAACATTAGTTAATGTTCATTAGATTTGTTATGAATCATGTTAATGTTGATGTTTTGTCGTTTTATTATGAACTGGAATATGCACAACCATAAGGCTTTTACATACAGCCCTTAATTCTCTATTAGGATGCAGTTTCATCAAAATATTTTAAAACAGTTAAATTGTGATTAGTTGGTTAGCACTATCACCTCACAGCAAGAAAGTTGCTTTTGAGTTCCGGCTTGGTCAGCTGGCATTTCTGTGTGGAGTCTCGTGTTGGAGTGGGTTTCCTTCAAGTGCTTGTGTTTGGGTGTTTCCCAGTACTGTGTTGCAGCTGGAAGGGCATTCGCTGTGTATAACATATGCTGGAATAGTTTTCAGTTCATTCTGCTGTGTCGACCCTTGACAGACAAGGGACTAAGCTGAAGCAAAATAAATGCATTAGAGTGTTTTGATGCTCGAAATCTCTTTTTTTGTGTTTGACCTTAAGATTTGTTGATGAAAAATTACAGAAATTAGTCAATGTTGTTGGATTATCAAATTTTTCAATGAGTAGTGAAACAGTACCCATTTGTTGTAAAAGTCTTAGGTATGAATAGTTCTACCGAAAACTGACAGATTATAAACTGTTTGGTAAAAGTTTTTTTTCTTTACAAATAGTTCAAAGAGTGATCTATTTGAGACCTTACAATAACATAATCTCTGTTCTGGGGGAAAAAGAGTGTTTATTTTGCATGTGCAGAAATGGTATAAACATGCAGTGAAGAGCTAGTGCTGTCTCAGCCATGTTTAAGTGTGAGCAGCCAACACTGAGGGACAATGTAAATAATGAGAGTGGTAGTGTGTGTGGAGTCTGGACATTCTCTTCAGCAGATGAGCTCACTGTCTAAAGTGTTACTAAAGAGCGATCCTTTGAACCATCTACAGTTTTTATGTTGTACTTTTACACAAGCTAAATCTGTCTGAAATGTTTTTGGTTTTCAAAATGAAAGTATCATTCTGGGAACTTTTGAAAGAACTTGAAAGTGATGACATTGTTTGGTATAACAACGTCACATAAACAAATACATCACAACCTGCTTTTTGTCTTTGTCATGACAACTACAGATATAAGACAAGATAACAAAACTTGTCATAAATCTTACAAGTTTTAATAAAGTGTTACCAAACAAACATTTTAAAAGTGCTTCAATTAAATTTGAAATGAAATGTGTTTATGGTGTTTTCTAGAATTGAATAGAATACAATAACTATGACAAATAGTACCAATTGTATCAATGTTTCAGAAACATAATTTGAATATTACTATTTGAAAATAAAGTTCAAAACATCATCATTGCTCTGACATTTTTAATATAAATATTAAGCGTACATGAAGTAAATACTTTCATGATACCACATATGTTGTTGGTGTGAGTTAGAGAAGTATTCGATTCAAAGGGTACCTAATTTACCCCATTTTCAAGATTTAAATAGGTCTTTTGTGTTTGCAGAACGTGCCTGTAAAGTTTCAGCTTAAAATACCATCAGACTATTTATTATACATTTTTAAATCTGTGAAATTTGAGCTGTTAGGACATTGAAGTTGTATTTGTTGCCTTTTCCCCCATCTAACACAATATATTTCATTTTAGAAAACATTTATAATATTTTGGAACAGTAAACATGTCAGGCTACGTAATTAAATAAACCATTGACCTCTAAGTGTAGGTGTTCTTAAAAATAAATGGTGCTTTAAAAAGTCTATGAAAAAAAAAAGTTTATGAAAATGTGGGAACCCTGTATTAATTTTGAAATCATAAGCACTTTTTATAGTTGTATCTGTAACACTGTGATCATTCTAGAAACTATTGTTTGTTTGATGCCGGGCACTTCACGAGTGTGATTTATATCATTGGTGTATTTGGTTTACTAGGTGGTGTTTGAGGTGGCGTTTAATAGTGCTCGCGGTGGTCATGTTGCTCTGGATGACATCTCTTTCTCCTCTGCGTTTTGCCACACAGAAACAGGTCAGTGCAGTTCTGTTACATAACAATCACTAACCCTAACCTTATGCAACTGTACATAGTTCCGAACATCACAAAAAACAGCTGTTTGACATTTTGAAGAAACACTATGAAACTGCGCTTCTGTTTTTGTGGTTTTGGTCATTTCTACAATGCTTATTTGGATATGAACAATTCTTCATACTTAGCATATAGCTTTACAAATGTCTCAAGCTGGTTACAGGAGCAAAAGATAGATAAACCCTGAGACAGAATCTAATTGTAACAATTGACTTTTATATACAGAAACAAAAGCTCATCAATAATACCAAAACAGAGATTTCTGGAAGGCATGACATGGCATTTTAGCCGTTTCTTTTACTCATCAGCAGAGTTTTGGGTTTGAAACATTGCCTTGTACGGAGATGTCATTAAGTGTTTCATTCATTTTTTTTTTTTTTTTAGATCTGTGTAAACATATATCACCTGCACTGTACATTGCCTGTTTTTTAATTGTAAATTGAAATCCCTTTTAAATAAAAAAAAAAAAAATATTTATTACATTGTGGTTGAGTAAACATATTTTTACGTATTGTCATAACTGTGTTTAGTTGCAGCAGTTTACATTTACATTTAGTCATTTAGCAGACGCTTTTATCCAAAGCGACTTACAAATGAGTTTTGTATGGAAGGAGTTTCCTTCCATACAACAGAAACATGGTGTTGAGGAGACGTTCAGATTAATTAACCATAATGAATTAAAGTGTGGTTACTAGTAAAATCAGCAAATCGTTGCATTCCTATTAATGATATCAGTGCATTGAACAAAAAGCCTTTTCTACAAACATATCCAAATGTTTTCGGCTGTCTGCGCCACTTGCTAAATGCCAGGCGACTCACGCTCGCCGCTTTCAACTGCAGCTTGTGTTTTATTGTACAGATGCATTTCACTTCATAACTACGGCGGATATTTTTTTACTGAACTAAATTTATCTTTGATGTCTTGGTCACACTGTTTGGAGGGCCACAAATTATCTCGGGGGCCAGGTTTGACCCGAGGGCTGCCAATTGAATAGCCCTGTATTATTTGCTAGTTTCATCAGTTACCATTTTAATATTCAGCACACTGAAAAAGAATGTGGCACTGAACCACTGAAACCTCAATATGCATCAATATAGAAGTCATTACAGATTTTATTTGTTACTTAAAAGGTTCGTTAGTAATGTTTGCCTATAGAGTAGGTATGTGTATTTAAGTACACTTTGCAGATTGTGTGAACTCAACTAGCTCTTAAAAGAAGTGGAAGATGAGACTGATTGGTTTATTGCATGTTAAGGCCAAAACACACTCATTACTGAAGAGAATAAAGGTGACCGGAACGTAAATATAGCTTACCGTTCTATACTGAACTGTACTGTACCATTCAGTGGAAGGCATAAGCACAACCCTTTTAGACCATGCTCTGGCTCACTGATCTTTTAGTGGATTCAGACCCACCCTGAGTGTATCAGCGCCAAATGCTTTATACTGTACACTTTGATTAATAAAATAAGGCCCAGTTTATTGTTTCAAACTAGTTTACTATTTAAAAAATGGCAGTTAATTTCACTTTTTTTAGGTCACCAAAATGTCATCCTTGTTAAATTAACAGCTATATTTTTTTTGGTTGAAAATGATGTTTTATAAATACACTTTGAAATAAAAAAACTTATTAGTACATGCATTATATACTTTCATATGTATCACTTTAGGAAAAATCCAACAAAACATCGACATCTGAAACTAATGCTTTTATGAGAAATTGCTTTGAAATTCTATGCATGTTTCAGAATAATGTACCTAACAAAATAGCTGGAATAGAAAATAGTTCATGAATTCAAATAATCAATGTTTTAGTCATTAATTATTGAGTTTGTTAAAGACATTTGCAGTTTAAGTCTACATAAATGAAGCTGCTTATAAATTCAAGACATTTTTACCATTTGATTTTGCAAAAAAAAAAAAATTATGTTGATCCACCATTTTAACAACAAAAATATTTAAAGCTAACTATTCTTTGAAACAGAAAGACAGCCTGTTGTTCTTAAAGAGGCTGACACCGCAACCCACAATTACCAGTAAACTGCTGTTTAATGGGGAATTTTTTTGCTGTTGTCCTGTTATGTAGTAACTACATTGACATTTCCTTTAGTCAGCACTTCACATACATTTCACAAAAAGTCTGTCCATGTGGGAGATGTTCATGTTGTGTGTTTGTTTCATATCACTCATGTTTCAGAGCCAGAGATTGACCCGTCTGTTGCAAACTGTGACTTTGAGGAGGGCCTGTGTCAGTATTATCAGGAACAGACTGGAGGCTCGCTGTGGAACAAAGTCTCTGTCAAACCGAATGTTTACCGCATTGGAGATCACACCACAGGCACTGGTGCGCAAATCTGTCTTTTGATATTTCTGATTATTTTGATATATTTATATCTTTTCAACCATCCTCCAAGTTACGTTGCTAGCTGGACATAATTGTGTACAAACCTGATTAACATTTGTTATGGTTTAAATCATACTTGTATACTATTTATTGATGCAAATATTAGAAAATACATGGTTCTAAATGGTAGTCTAAATGGGTGTGCAAACTCGGTCCTCCAACTCACCTGAGCATGCCAATCAGTGTCTTCAAGATCACTAGAAATGTTTTGATTAGAGTTGGAGCTAAACTGTGTAGGAAACTGGCCCTCCAGGAACAAGTTTGCCCACCCCTGTACTAAATTTATGTTGTTTTGCTTTGTGACAATAATCAAAGTAATGATTTTTTGTTTACTATATAGTTTGTTGCTAAATAGAAACATTATCATTAGGTTCCATAAAGGATGCTTTTTAAAATTTTAGGGCTACATATACAGTCGAACCCAATATTATTCATACCCCTAGCAAATTCGGACTCAGGTCCCTATCATACACACACTGCAATATGCTATTATCAGACCAGCGCAATCCTAATTTTCACATTATGCGCCACGTTGTTTAAACAGCAAATACATTTGCCCCACTTCGTGGACTCATGGGTATGTTGGTCTAAAAAGAAGGTGTGTTAAGGCCCATTATTGGCGTTTTGTTATTTTGAGGGAAACTGAAATAGACTGTGCCACTGACCAACTACAAGGTGGTCTAAAGCCCAGTGCGAATCATGTTAGTTGTGCACTTACAGTATACTATACTGTATGCTAGTCCAAACACTTACACATTGCTTAATATATACAGGATGTACAGCAATACACAAATATTTTTGCATATAAAAACAATTAAAGGATTAAAATGTTACAAAAAGTATCCTTTTTTAAATAAATATAAACCAATTTTGCATTTGTATAATGTTATTATTCGTAGCAGTATTTATTATGGGCATATTTATAATTGTTTTAACAAAAACAGGTTAGATTTGTCCACCTGTCGGGTTTTTGGAGACATAGGTGTCTCTAGGGCATAAGAACAGGACGTGTGTTTGGATATAACACACGTTATTGATTATTCATTTATTTGTTTGCTGGAAATTAGAACTGAATTAAGAAATAGTTTTGAAACAAATTTTTGCACTTAACAAGCAAAATGAAATATGTAGGCTAATGGATGTCTTCACTGGAGTGAGTTTCCACCGTTTCCTTATCCACAAAAGTAAAGAGTAAAAGTAAAGTAAAGAGAAATCAAAGAGGCAGAATGGAGGAGGCTTGTTCTTTTTCCTCGCGCTGCAGATGGTCTGTTTAACTGTTTTCTGGCTAGTGAAGCTTTAGTTTTGCTTCTTACAAAGTCAGCCATGTAATTAGCAAATGTGCCATGGTGTGATGCAACTGACTCTTAAAGGGAATGGGAGATGAGATTCATTAAGAGAATAAGCACAGCCCTGTTAGACCATGTGCCAGGGTGCAAATTATATTTTTCCGTCCCTAAATTAGCAAAAGTGGGCTCAGACACGTCCTTAATGCTTTTGCGCCCTTCGCTTTAGACTTTGCGCCTTCTGTTCAAATCTAAATAAAAGCTGGTAAATATTTTTTTCATACAATGATTGCTCTTGTAGGGGCAGCATAGTGATTCAGCATGAGCCATGAAGTTTGCATGTTCTCCCCGTGTTGACATGGGTTTCTTCCGAGTGCTCCAGTTTCCCCTACAGTCCAACGATATGCAGTATAGGTGAATTGAATGAGCTAAACTGGCTGTAGTGTGTGTGAATGTGATTGTGTATAGATGTTTCCCAGTACTTGGTTGCAGCTGGAAATGCATCTGCTGTGTAAAACATTTAAAGAGTTCGGATGCAAAAACCTCTATGTGCCGTCTGAAATTTCCATCGAAAATGAGCATTTTTCTCAGACTCCTATGTTTATGTTAAGTTATTTCATTTTAAAGACTTTTAAAACAATTTCAAATGGCTTTTAGAGTTTTTTGCATCTGATCTCTTCATATGCTGGAATAGTTGGTGGTTTAATCTGTCTGATAAATAAAGGGACTAAGCCGAAGGAAAATGAATAAATGATTGATCCCTCTTGTACATCATCTCATTATGTTTTATGAGAAGCAGTGTCATTTTCAAAACTTGGTGGTTGAATAAAAGTAATCTTAAGTCAGAATTTGCCAGTTTTAGGAATTATTTAGTTCTTTTCATTTCTCTATATGTTTGTGAGTGTGCTAGTAATGAAGTTGCAGTTATTTCTATATATTTCTATATAGTCAAGGTAATGTTTATTGACAAACTAAGAAAGAAATCATTTACCTGTTAAGAGAATTCTTTGATAGTTATGGAATTGCAAAAAAGGTGAGATCAATTTTGCTTTATAAAAATGCCATTTTACTTGATAATTTTTCAATATTAATAATTATCAGTGTTATAAACAAACAAAGCTTCAACCCAGAAATAACATTCTATCAAAATGTCCTACCCTAAACTTGTTCCAAGACTATGAGAAACGTCTTCGTTTTCAGAACACGAGTGAAACTATTTGAATTAAATCTGAGAGGCTTCTATCTCTTCACTGAAGGTCTAGTTACCTAGACGTGTTGCAATAAACTGCATTATGAAGCTTCAAAATGTTCATTAAAAGATCCAAAAATATTCATATAAATAAGTTTCATGCAAGTCTTCTGAACAGACACCATTGCTTTATATTATGCATAGATTTCATGTATGCTTTATGCTAACTTATTTAAATTTTATGTTTACAACTTTTTACAAATTCGGGCACAGAAGCTCGAGTATGCTTGCTTGATGCTCATGAACCAATGATGTTTGTCACATGGCACTGAGCTCCCGCAAGAACCAATGAGTGAAGTTTGTTATTGTGTGATATGAAGGTATCATTGAACTTCAGTTTATGTATGCTGATTCCTTTTCATATGTGGATAAAATACTAAATTAACCAGAAGACTTGGTTTAGAGTAGACCACAGAATTCATATGAATTTCTTTCTTTTTTTTTTTTTTAATCTTTGAATACTTGGGTAAACAAAAGTATGATAATTTGTGTTCTGAAGATGAATACATTTCATCTATGTTTGGAAAAACATGGGGTTAAGTAAACTTTGGGGTGAATATCCCTTTAAGAGATTCTTTACACTTTGTAAATTTAAGATTTATTTCACTTATTGTTTCTATGTTCTTTATATCTATCTACTATATCCACAGGTTCTTTTCTTCTGACCAACACTCGCCATGCCTCTCGTCCAGGGTATGTGGGTCGTCTTTTTGGACCTTTCCTACCAGGGAACCATAAATACTGCCTCAGGTTCTACTATGCCCTTCATGGCTTCATGAAAATAGATAATGCTCTGGCTCTTTATGTTTATGATGAAAACAACATAGCTCAGGAGAAACTATGGACTGTTTCTGAGAGGTCTAGAGATGTTTGGACTGAGGTGGAAGTGACCTACCTGAAGCCCATGTCTACTAAGGTAAAATCCGTGCATTGTTTCTTAAAGCAATAGTTAACCTAAAAAGGAAAATGTTAATTTAGTCACCCTCAGGTCAACCAAGATGTGGATTTTTTTCTTCAGTAAAACATAACTTATTCTTCAAAGCAAAGTCAAAACAACATATATGGGCAAAACAAAAGTAATATCCATGGCTTGTGACAATACAGTGATCTCTTATTAAATGGAACAATTTGTAGAAAACAAATGAACTAAATTTACACTTTTGAAAGTAAATTGAGATGATGAACAACATTAAGGTCTTAAGTGTTCTTCAGATTAGAGGTGATATAAGGACATTGAATGTCCTGAATGATAAGTACAAATTCAGTTTTAATGCTTTTTTATTTTAGAAAAGTATTTTCTTGTCACAGATAAGCCGTAACAAATCTTTGACTGTACTTTGGTTCACCCTGTGTGTAAATTCCTGTCATAATCTCCGGGATTCTGATAGCTGAAGCACAAGACTATTTTGAATGAAGTGTCTGTCTGCAGGAAAATCACTTCCAAACCCCATCTGGGGGATATTCATTGTGCTTCTTCAAAATGTCAAAGCCATTTTAAAGGAAAAACCACAGAAAAAATTAAGAGTTTTAAACTGATGTTGCCAAATGTTAAAGACAAATAATGTGGATTTTAATTAAACTGTCTTTTATTAAAACAAAATTTAATAAAAATATATTTGAAATATAAATAAAATATTTATTATAATAAATAATAGTATATTAAGGTATTTTAGGTATTGTTCACCCAAAATATAAAATGTCTGTCATAGTTTTTCTCACTGTCAAGTTGTTCCAAATTTGGCATTTATTTATTTTTTGTTGTGTGCTGTCTGAGTATTTAGTGGCTAAACAGTTCACTTACTGACTTTATAAATTGACTTTATATATTGTGGTTAAAAAAAAAGAAAGAAACAAAACAAGTAGAGGGTGAGTATAAATGAAAACAAAACTTTCATTTTTGGTTGAACTATCCCTAATTTGGTTGATATTTCAATATACCTTTTAGCATTTGATAAAATAACATTCTGTATTATTCTAGGAGTATATGATCGGTCACACTTTATTTTGATGGTCCCTTTGTTGAATTTATGTTACATTGGATCTACATGCCAACTAATTCTCATTAGACTGTTAGGTTAGGGTTAACATTGGGGTTAGGGTTAGTGTAAGTTGACATGTACTTGCAAAGTTTCTTGTAGTCAGTTAAATGTCTGTTGAGCAGTTTTAACACATATTAAGCAGTCTACTAATACTCAAACGGACCATTAAAATAAAGTTTTACCATATGATCTACCTGTTTAATTGTATTATCCATGGATCTTTTCTTAACTTCCCTTCAAGGTAGCATTTGTCAGCATCTGTAGAAACTTCTGGGACTGTGGCCTTGTGTCTCTTGATGACATCTCTGTGACTCTTGGAGACTGTCGTGTTAATGCAGGTACTTTAACTCTTTTGCCAGTGTCAGGGATCCTATGTTGATGTTAATTATGTTACATGGGGATGTTTGTCAGATTTAAAAATAAAAATAAATATTCTCAGCAACAAGATTCCAAATTCCCCAATGACTCACTCACTGTTTTTTTTTAAACAACCATTATAGTCATGTGGCACTAAGAGGAATAAATCCAAAAGGCATTTGAGAAATTCTTCTTGACCCCTGCCAAGCACCGGTTGCATTGTGTGGCAAATTATGTATTTTAAGAACAATGAAGCTTATATCACAGAAATATTTTAAATTATTCATATTGTTGTGCGGCTGCTTTTACACAAAGGCAAATTTAAATTAGGCTCTCTGAAAATATGTGCCTCAACCTACATTTTGCATGTTCTACATTTTGTGAATGCTGAGATATGCTACTGAAATAGGTTTTGTAATATGTATCAGATACACATCTTTCTGTACACAAGATGAGAATGTGGCTTGTCATGCAGATCATCAGTGAATCAATGATGTAAATAGTATTTTTAAAATCAAATGTAGAATAAAGTGCATTGTAACCATGCCATTTTACCTTGATTTTAGATGGACTCAAACCCGAGTGCTCTGCATCACAATTGACCCTTCGCTAAGCCCCGCCCTCCTTAGTTACTGTTGCTACACTTGTCAAGCTTTCGTGTCTGGCAAGGCTTTTACAATGTGCGAGTGCTGGTGTCAGACATTGCAAGGGATTTAATGTCATTTTTGGCGAACAGGTGAGATATCCGATAAAGTCAGACAAAAAAGGACTGCAGTATGCATTACAGGGGTATATTCACCACATAATAGGCAACCGATTAGAAATTAATTAAATCAAAATTGAAGCTAGCTTATAGCTCATACGCTGATGATTCAGCTGCTTAGTTCATGCTCAGCAGAAGAGGTGACATTTAAAAATAATCTATTTATGAATAATTAAACCGTGATGTCTCTATTTTTAGCCAAAAAGCCTGATAGATGAATTGTTGTGCAATGAAATATAGCATCACTAACTGACGAGGAAACACGCATGGACATCCTTCTACATCATTCATTCAGAGAAAGAACAGCCAGAAAGGGGAAACAGATGGATTTGTGCCGAGTATTAGCATCACTGACCCATAACAATGTACAGTAAGTTACCTATAACTGTCAGTATTTTTGAGTGCTTTTTATAATTTACTGAAAAGCAGCTGCGGGTATAGTATATTGATCGCAAGTGCTCAGTTTGTGATCATATCAAGGTTTTGTTCTGTTGATTTGTAATTTCAAATATTCGTAGCTTGAAGCAGATGGAGATATGAAGTTCAGTAAAGTTAGAAACATATTTGCAGATTTGTTTTTGCCTAATCAGTAACTCATGATGACCTATTTGCTATTAGTATGATAACGTTACTATGGTTAAACAGAGCATTGCTCATAATATCGAGCGGGAAAAAAAGAAAAAGACAGCTGTGAAACATCACCTGCTTTGTGTTTTTGTAGGAAGCACAGTTTAGATCTGTTTAGGGTAAGAGGTTTGAGTTATTGCCGTCGATCTATCACTGAATGTGTCAGGAATATCAAAACAAAACCAACTTAGCTCCGCTCCTTTAGCGCCCCTCACACAGCTTGATCCAGACTGACATTTCTCCTCTTGGGTGTTAGGTTTTGAAAAGGAAAAAATTCCACCACCCTGTCCAAACTTTAAGGATACCAGGTATCAGATTTGCACAATCCATATGCACAATGCTTTGTTCTGTTTCCGTCGCTTGAAAGCTTGACATAGCCCCTGCGTGTAGCTACGGTTGCTAAGCCACGATTGGTGGATGGTGGTTTTTGGGTGTGGCTTAGCGAAGGGTCAATTACAACAGCAAAAAAAGTGAACAACTGAGCAAACTTTTCACACCATAAAACTTGTCCACATAGAGATAGATAGCTAAGCCAAATATATTAGATTGCAAATCATAGTCACTGTTATGGTGTTTTCTGGTATTGACATGGTGTTGTGTAAACGGCACAAAAACAATAAATTGTTCATGATTATTATTTCCCTGTAAATATGCTTAATGTAAAAAGAAACTAAAATTGCTGGTGTCATACTACCCCTTGGTGTAAATTTTACCTAGAAACGACAGTCAAATGTATGTTTAAATACTTTTTTTTTCAGTTTCTCGAAAATGCAAACTGAAGCATTCTCAATGAGCCTGTTTTATTTAAATTGCACGAACAATTGATATAGGTCATATAGTATAACAGTTCTGTCTGGTTTTTCTTTTTGATTGGCTGATAGCTCTGCAATATCAGTATATAGTCTATTCACTTTTACTCTGCCCAGATAGAGTGTCGGCAGATCAATTAAATCACTACAGTTTGACAAAAATTGCAGCTGTTGGACAACACAATGTACTGTTGAGGCTTTTTTAAAGTGAGAATGTAGTTGTTTAGATTGAATCTATGCAGTTTATTTATAAGGATAGTGCCCATCGTAAACAATTATAATTTTTTAGATAAAGCGCATCAGCAGCCCTCAGCCTGTCGTTGAGCAGAGCAAAGACGGTTGACGTTGTGCCACAAAGTGGCAGGCGAGACTACATAATAAGCCCTTAGAGGAGAAAAACTTGTATTTTCTAACCACTGCTGATCAAGTCATTATTAAACTAGTGAGTGACATTCTAAGTCGATCTCTCTCTTTTGTATGTTGTAGTGCTGTATTTGTATCATATAATTGCAGACTAGATTAGTATAAAGAAAGAAAGAAGAAATGCCCACATGTGTATAGCGTGTTTTTCTTAAATGTCTCTAGAGTGAGCAAAATCACCTGTCTTGTCATAAATTTAGACATTACGCAAGAAAATAATTTAAATACTAGCTATAAAGTGACTTTGGTGAATTAGTAATGGTTTCTGCTGTTTTTGACATCAGCTGCAGATGTGAATGAAATGGGGGAAGGAAGTTATTCCTCAAACAAAAGTTTTTTTTAGACTCTACCAGTTAGATTTTTTTTTAATACATGATTATGCTATCCAACTGTTGTATGAAACCCATATCACACTCATATACAGTGTGATATGGCTGTATATCTTAACAGTGCTGATATACAGCCATATTGCAGTGCTTTGAGTGTATAGTTTTATGCAAAAGTTTGGCCATCTCTGGGGCTGCATAATACTGTGCTCTTTCTTTATAAGAGAAGATCACAGAGATATTGTCACCTTGGAATTATAAGGTTTATTCTGCATTCTAAATGATTTTGAGATATTGAGTTTTTTTTTTAAATACGAAGTCTTAAAATGTAAACAACTTATAAAAAAGCTTCCCATAATGTAAATAATTGTCGTTTTATAAGAATATGTTCATTCATTCATTTATTCATTTTCTTGTCGGCTTAGTCCCTTTATTAATCCGGGGTCGCCACAGCGGAATGAATTGCCGACTTATCCAGCACATTTTTATGCAGCGGATGCCCTTCCAGCCGCAACCCATCTCTGGGAAACATCCACACACACTTATTCACACACACACTCATACACTACCGACGATTTAGCCTACTCAATTCACCTGAACCGCATGTCTTTGGACTGTGGGGGAAACCGGAGCACCCGGAGGAAACCCACGCTGACGCAGGGAGAACATGCAAACTCCACACAGAAACGCCAACTGAGCCGAGGCTCGAACCAGCAATATTCTTGCTGTGAGGCGACAGCAATACCTACTGCGCCACTACGTCGCCTAATAAGAATATGTCAATAACTTTATTTTGAAAAAAGTGTCAGATGAAACCTTCTAATTCTATGTCATTCAATTTCTAGTGAAAGCTAGATGATGTCATGTTTGTCACACAGAAATCCATAGTGTAGCAGTATTGAGATGTGTAAAATTAAATTTTGGGCACTCTCTTGTTTGTGTGGATTACAAAACCTGTAGTCACTTAATGCTGATTGATTACAACACAAAATTGATTTCAGTGTGTGGAGTCAGTGAACCTTAACAATCCCAGCACAGGTGCAATCAATCATAAAAATGGATATTTAAAATAGCTGATTGCTAATTATGCTTCTACTTATTGTAAACCACAAAGTAGTTTGTTGCTCTAACAAGGTTTATATATACAAACCATGGCCTCTAGCGTCTGTTACTAGAGCACCTTTAGAGTTCAGAGGAGGGAGATTTATCTACACAGCACTTCACTGGCTGGCCTCCATTACACTCATCCTCATAACCCACATTTCCATCCATGACGAGCCCCCAAGTATAACCCACTATTCCTACTACACCCAACCTGCTCTGAGCTGGGATCAAACCAGCAATTTTTTTGCATGGGAGTCGGTTGCTCTAAAAAGGAAGCTTAAAAACTATGGCCTCTAGCTTTAATGTTGCTAAAGAGGTCAGAGGAGTGAGCTTTCCCTGCACAGCACTTCACTAGCTGGTCTCCATTACACTTAATTTTACACAAATTTAGATTTCACTTAAATTGAACTGAAATGCAAATATAGATAAATATCAATTAAAAAGGAAACTAATAAAAATGACAAAACTACATAGGAAATTTAAATGAAATTAACAGCTAATTTAAAATGTTAAGTACAAAACAATACAGAGATTTGTAACAGAGAAACTTTGCAATTTGTTTTACAAACACTACCTTACTTTGTCTAAAAAGTGCATATGTTGATTTGGTGAAGTTTACTCTAATTAAAAAATAATTACAATAGAATGGCAAAAGTGCATATATTTAGTTTACACAATCTCGATATAATGAAGAACAACCAAAATACATGACAAGGCCAAATAAAATCACGCCACTTGTTGAAATTTACTTTTCTTTTTGAAATTTAGTCTATGACAGGATATTTATTATAGTGATGATTTGTTTTTCTGGCCTGTTATATATCTGCCAACAGTTATTTTAACCCTAACTGATGCAGTGTGTAGCCATTTATTTTTAAACAATGTTGAAAGATGCTGTAATGTTGTAAAACAGATCTCATTGTCATATTCCAGGATGATAATGCCAGCATTATAAAAGAAGGCTTTGTTTTCACATTGGCATCCAGTTGACCTGAAGCCCACTGTATGTCCTTTTGGATGTGTTGAAAGCAGACCAGATAGTAAGCGTCTTAGGTTGATCTAATGTATAGCTTTAAATACTGTGTACATTTATCATCAATGACCTTTTGCATTGTTTCAACATTTATTTCCATCAAGAGTTGGTGGTCAATTCGTAAGATAAAAATAGGCTTTCTTTTTCTATTTGAGCCTGAGGAATCTGGTAATGTCATCCTGGAATAAGATCATTCGGACATGGTTGTGTCAAAGCTAAACTCTTCAGCAATCAGTTAGGGTTAATCATTTCAGAAACATATATAACTGAAATAAAGGTCAAGTTTTGGACAGAGCAATGTATTGTATTTTTATATTTAAATAAAAAAAAAATTCCAAATTGGTATTTGTTCTTTCTTTTATTAATAAACATGACTGACACAGGCTGTCCTCACAATTCCAGAGTGTTCTGTTTGACCTAGTTTTGTTGCTTTTATGGAAGTGAAACCAATGACTTGTAAAAGATGCAAGCAGCTGATTATTCTGTTAAAAGCAAATGTATATTGCTTACAGGTTGCTTGGAAGTCGTTGCTTGTTGATAGTGAGCACATTTTAAACAATGTGGTTCAGGAAATAGGTTCTTCAATATTCTGTTTATAGACTTATATCCCATAGCTACAGAGAACATCTGCCCTCACAAACATAGACATTAAATGGGCAGTGCCTCCTGTGGCCAACAGAAATAGACAAGCTTGTAACCATTACCCTCACAAAGTTTAGAGTACTCCAGATTTGTTAGTTTTTTATTGTTTCTATTAACAACATCTAACAATTTTTTTTTAGAATCAAACAGCATTTTCTAGACAAGAAAAATACTTTTTTTTGTTTAAAAAATAATATGCTAAAATTACATAATTTTTTCCCTATGTCAAGCAAAAAAATCTGTGAAGTATGCAAAATAATATTGTTTTCCATTGGCAGATTATTTTGCCTATTTTAAGGAAGAAAAGCTATCTTGGTTTTTGCATAAACAATACAATATTTTTGCTTGTCTAGAAAATGCTTCTTGATTTATGATTTTTTAAAAATATTTGGACTAGAAATTAGACAAAAACATCTAAATTTTTTTTTGCAGTTTTTGCTTTCTATTTGTATTTTTTATACAAAACAAACAAACAAACAAAACATTTTATTTATCTAAAGAGTACTTTTTCACTGATGCCGACATATCTTAGCTTTTAAGAGCTATCTCTAATTCTTGTTGCAGTTTCATGTGTTTTCCCCATAAAATGCATGTAATATGAATGTGAGAACATGTTTTGTGTTACTTAGGGGTCACTAAACATTTGCAAAGTGCTGAAGTATGAACTTATATGGCAGCGGTTATCAAACTTGTCAGGGTCAGTGTCCTGCAGAGTTTAGCTCCAACACCTGAACAACCCAGACACCCGACTCCACAACACCTGAAAAAACTAAGGTATTTAGGTATACTTGAATCATCCAGGTAGGTGTGTTGGGGCAAGTTTGAGCTAACTCTGGGGGGACACCGTCCCTCCAGGACCAAGATTGGTGACCCCCGTTGTATGGAGTTATACTGTACTGAACGTTTAACTCAATAATCGTCATTTCATGTGCATTATTAAAGAATTCAAGTCTACATAAAGCACCTACAAACTGAGGCACTGGCCAATTTGTTAAAAAAAAATGTACCCAAGAATTTCCCAATATAGAATATGGATGGCTTATTATGTGGATGTCAGTAGTTTCTTCCAAACTTTCCCAGTGTTTAAAGCATCTTTTATTTAGCCATTTATTTTTTTTTATTTGCTTGTTTTCTGCCTTTTTCAGCTATTAACAATACAGTGCACAATTAAGTGGAAAGAAAAACTTTATTTATAACCACACTGCACTTTCTGTAAAATGTAAATATTATTTGGATGTTAAAAGTTCTTTTTGGATGGCAATGTTTTATAACTTACTTTAACTCTCTTAAGGTCTGGCCTTCCATTTAATAGATGCACTATCCTTCCTTTTTATTTATTTTTGTAGTAATTATTTATTATTATTTTTTAACTATTTCTATTGTATACTGTTTAATTGTAAATATTTACTTTATAAACATTAGATAGATAGTTGGTTGTAATTTTCTGTACATTTTTATTACTCTTGTTTCCATTTTTTCTTTTCCCCTTTTGTTATTTATTATCATTATTATTATTATTATTATTTTTTATTATTATTTTTTCGTCTGTTTTGTAAAAAAAAAAAAAAGAACAACAAAGATAATGATATGTAACTATTTGTACTGATATAGTGTTTGTTTTTTTACCATAAACATTTTACATAAAAGCTCATTTTGGAGACATTTATAAACATGTTTAAGCTTTAAAATAACAGTGTTACATAAGTTAAGATTGTTCTTTTTTCCCATATTGTGACATACATCCAATTACAACAGTCCTAAAATTAGAAAAAAGACGTAGGATGGCACGATTGTAATACCACTGATCCTACACCACCCAATCCACTCAGTGGCTGGAACCGGTGACTTTCTGCATGGTAGTCGATTGCTTTAACAAGGAGCCTAAAGACCATGGCCTCTAGCATCTGTCACTGGAGTACATTTTAGAGGTTTACCTGCACAGCACTTCACTAGCTGGCCTCCTCTGATAAGCAATGTTACCCCTCTGGTCCTACATTACCTAACCCACTTCGAGCTGGGATCGAACAGGTGATCGTCCACATCGGAGTCAGTTGCTCTAATAAGGAAGCTAAAGACCATGGCCTCTAGCGTCTGTCACTAGAGCACAATTTAGAGGTCAGAGGAGTGAGATGTGGCGACTGCTACACATGATCCCATCCTTTGGTTACCTATCGGATCATTGGAAGATGGGTGTTGCTAACAAAAGAAGGTAGATTGATGAATGGACAAAAGCAGGGTAAAACAACACACACCCCTCCCGAAAGGCATTCCATATGACCAGAAGTAAAGAAAAGTCATTTCGTGGGGGAAGGGAAAGCTAGGATATTTGATAAAATATTATGAGGCTAAATAATATTTAACAAAAATATGAAGTGTACATAAACATCATTTATAACAATTTCTAAAAACTCATATTAAAATAGAAGATTAGCACATTTGAATTTCAGAGTGACTTTAAACTTTCAGACTTTTCCTAATTGGTGAACACTACTATTTCAAAACAGGTCACTTTTTTCTGTTCTCTTTTTAGGACCCTTGAATCCACCTCCTGGACACTGTAACTTTGAAACTGGTGACTGTGGCTACACCCAGAAAAAGAAAGCTAAAAAAGGACATTGGCTAAGGATTCGAGGACAGACGCCCACATCTTACACCGGACCCAAGGGGGACCACACCTTAGGGGTAGGTGAGTCAGATTTATACTTCAGCTTAGAATGCTTTTATCTCTGATTTCTTGAGACAGAGCACACTAAGTTTCTCCTACTCTGACTTCAAGGTTACTTCATGTACATTGAGGCCTCCCACATGTTACCTAAGCAGTCAGCCCAGCTGATGTCCACTGAGCTGAGGGGCTCATCCATCCCGCAGTGTCTGATCTTCTTTTACCACATGTATGGCTCGGGCACAGGGACCCTGAGCATCCTGCTGCGTAAGGGGGACAAGGAAAGACTGCTTTGGTCTAGGCAAGGAGAACAGAGCGTGTCCTGGATGAAGGCCATGGTGGATTATGAGTGTTACACAAGGCACTGGGTTAGTGACATGTTCTTGCTGCTCTTTGAAAAGTATCTTTTGCAACACTTATATTACAGCAACCATTTGATCACTGAAACCATTGCATTTCTGATGTCCCAGGAAAATGACTTTATTATGTTTTTTGTTTGTAAAATGTACTTTAAGGTTTAATGTCTGGTTTATTGTTTGCAGGTTATATTTGAAGCCACCAGAGGATCGTCAATAAGGAGTGACATTGCGATTGATGATGTTGTGTTTAAAAAGGGACCTTGCAAAGGCAAGTGAAAATTATTCATTTCCAAATGGCTTTAAAATAATTTAACATTTCCAAAGTAAAAATGGTAACACTTTAGCTTAGGTCATAAACCATGAACAAACACAACTACCTAATAAACTACTAATGAGCTGTTTATTAAATAGTTAGTAAGGTAGATGCTGAGTTTGGCTTTAGGTAGGATTACAGTAGCAGAATACCAGAAAGTAGAGGAATTGCCAACCTACGTCACACATGGCGCCACATGGGTTCAACCACGCAAACCGGTTGCAAAAAAAGACCGGTTGCAATACCAAACAAGTCATGTTGTGTGGTTGAATTCTAAAATCGAAAGTCCAAAAGTAGAAAACTTAACTTTTACCGTACACCACACTGCTTTTAATGCCAACTGCAGATGTATTTGGCTAACAGCAATCGTAAGAGCTGAATAGAGTGAGGACCTATTTAAAAAAGCATCTGCTAAATGACTAAATCTAAATGCCCGACTCTGTAGTTCTCATTTTATATCAGGTAAGTTCATGCTATGCTAACTCATACACATTACTCATTTTTGATTGCAGCTATGATTTCAGCAAAAATAGTTAAATGTGGTGAATGAAACTGCGGATACTGAATGCTTAGAATGAAATGTAAAAATGTACGTTCACATACACTGCCATACAGCTGCAGTTCGCTGTCAGAATGCAGTTGTTTTGCTTGTTGATGATTAGCCAGGCCTTGTACAGTTCAGTCTTCTTTCCTTTTTTTTTGGCTAGCCAGAATCTTGGTTTTTAGCAATATGAAGTTTTGAATGTGGTAATCATGGAACATTATTTCTTGCACATGACCACACAGAACAAAATTGTTGGCATCCAAAGACTTGTAACTTAGGCCTTTAACTTCTCTCTTGTAAAATTACTTAGAGTTTGAATGAGACAGTTGTATATTTTTGGCTGGATGCTTGGCCATTTCATCTTTTTTAATATGCATTGGGAGGGTACTTTCGCAAATGGATCTGTCAGACGAACGCCGCTCACTTTAACGTTAATTTTGTAGAATAACTATGCTTCTTACTGGGTGACAAGCTGTTATAATAAGCTGAAAGCAATTATTTACATTATATATATATATACTACGTAATCAATATATCTTATCTGTAATACAACCACTAACTCTGTACTGGATTGGATGTCATTCCCTCACTATAAATGCTAGAGCTCCATTTTTTTTTTTTTGCTTTTTTTGCAACCGTGCAGTGCAAGCATTCTGAATGTTTAAACCTTTAATTTGTCCTAAAAAAATCATACATTATAACTACTTATGAAGAGTTAATGTCTTAGTTAGGTACAAAGCCAGTAGTGATTAGTATGATTTGTCACCTAACCTAAGGTGTTAATTTAATAATGTTTGAACTTTGGGTTTAGACATTTCTTATTCAATGTCAAAAATATCGTTACACATAAGAAACATATAAATTATGCTTTCTTCATCACTAAAGTGCATTTTTGACCAGTCCACATGTTCCAACACAGAGGTTACTCTTCCCCTTTTCTGGTGATGGTGCTCTTAATATTCACCACATTATCCCATCAACCCCTGCATTTGTCTTTCGTGCTGGGGCAATGTAATGCAATACTCTACATATCATATTTTTGGAATGACTAGCCACTCTTGCTAAAGCTTAAAAAGTCCTTTTTATAAATATTTTAAAACTAAGATTAATATTTGCATAAATAGCTAGAGGTGTGACAACAAACAGTACCACATGGGGTATTAAAGTGTACCGCTAATAGGGGTGGTTTAGATAGTATATTTAAGACTTGGTTGTGTTTACAAGATGTAAAGCAATGTGTGCTCATGCTTCACTTGTAGAAAATCATGTTATTTTTTCATATATTTTACTTTGATTATACACTGCTACTCAGCTAACATGAAATCGACTGTGATATTTTCTATGAAAGACCAGCCCTCAAGAGACTCTGATTGGTCAGCTAACATCATATGCTGTGATTAGGGAGTGGCTCCATGTCACCACTTCATGCCCCTACAAGCACACGTTTTTGCACTGTGTAAATAGTCCAGTCAGAGCAGCTGTTAGCAGCTTTAGCTGCTTAAATCAGACAGAAAAATGAAGAGCACACAGTTGAACCTTACACCTGCTCACTAAAATAAAATCTGACAAGTGTCTTTCATATATATTCGGAATAAGCATGTGTAAGTAATATAAAACGTTGAAATATCTTTTGCAAGTTTGTTATTTGAGATGTAAAACATGCATAGACAGACGCTGCAGTGCTGCTAAAGACTGTGGGTGTTTACAGCTGTTGGACTAACAAATATGAATTTTTAGCTAAATTGTTAGCGGTGCCAAACAGCATTTCCCATTGTTTACATCCTTGTTTACGTCCTTGCTACAACATACCATTATGCTAGAAACTGTGCATGTAATAGAGCAATTTTAACAAATAAAATCACTTACAGGTTGTGGCTCACAATGCACAGCTTCTTCTATTATGGTTGGAGGACTTTTACCTGAATCTAGCACTGAACTGAGAGAGAATTTGCAAGCTATCCTTTGTCAACTGCTAGAGCTATATATTTTTTTTATAATTCTCTGGAACATAATTAAAATAAAACTGTAAGCACTTCTCTCTTAGTGTCGTGTCCTTTGGAAATCCAAATAAAGAAGAAGGTCTGTAGAAAAGCAGCATTTGGATGGCATTTTAGCTTTCTCTGCTGTAACATTATAGAGCAGATGTATTTTTTTGTAGTCCCCAAACTTGGTTATAGGCTTTGTTAAGCAAACTCTGTTAAAGTCAATGTCTCCCTTTGCATTGAACTTTGACCGTCATACATTTAGATATGTTGTTTATGTTCCAACAGCTACTTTACACATCAACTAAAGTTCAAAACATTATATCGTAGTGGACCACCCCTTTAAGAATTTTTCCAGAAAAACAGCTTATCTTCACTTTTATAAATGCTTTCAATTTCTGACATATAGCTTGGTCAAAATTCATCACATTGTTGCATGCATTACTGATGTGAATTCAAATGCATAGCCTTGAAGTAAAGAAGAAGTTGTTTTCATCTTGTCAATCTTGTCTTATATTTGATGTACTGCAGTATGCTTTGTGAGTACAGATGGCTGCACTGCAGTAACAGCAGGTTGGGGGAGCAGGTGATTTCTTTACCGCAGTTTGTCTCTTACTGTAGCCGCCAGATTCTGTTTATTGAGACAGCGCTGGGATGTAAAAGACAGAATGAATTTTGTTCATGTGTTCATACTTTAAAGCTTTCTGTTTCTTTTTCTCTATTTCTAGATCCTGGAGACAGCGTTTCCTACTCAGGCTTCTCTGAAAATTTCAATGAGATTGAGTACTGAGAGCAGCCCAAGAATGCTGAAATGTGTTTGTTTTTGTTTGTGTTTCACTGGGGACGAGGAGAGAAAAGAACATTTGTTATCTAGGCTCAACGGTGTTCTGCTGATTCTAGTCACGGAGAGACACATGCATCATTGTTCCTTCACATTTAGGTGGTATGATGTGTCTAGTTCTTGATATAATCTGATATTTTTGGATCATACAGGACAGCTTGGGACTGTCTTGTTTTTGTGTATTTTGATTAGATTATTGTTTTTGTTTTGTTTTTATAGTCTTGACATTGCTTAGCGGCATGCTGCTAGGTAGCACCAGTTTTCAGTTTGTTTTTGCAGAGGTGAACAAATCCTTTTCAGTGTTTTTCTTTTTCTTTATCAGTGTCCAGAGTAAAACATGTTTGCAATAATGACAAAATTCAGGTCGTGAGTTGTGTACATTCTCACTCAAAGTGTTACATTTATTAAATAACTTTTTAAAATTAAAACTTCTTGTCAGGTCTTGACTGAAAATACTGTAAACTAAATATCTCTGGATATTCTTGTTTATGTTCTTTCCATCAATGCCATCTAGTGGAAGGTGTGTGTTATGGGTCATTTGGGCTTGTTGAAGATTTTATTTATGATTTAGGATATTTTGAAAACAATACAGTACTACTAAACATTCATTCATTCATTTTCTTGTCAGTTTAGTCCCTTTATTAATCTGGGGTCGCCACAGCGGAATGAACCGCCAACTTATCCAGCAAGTTTCTACGCAGTAGATGCCCTTCCAGCCGCAACCCATCTCAGGGAAACATCAATATACACATTCACACACACTCATACACTACGGACAATTTAGCCTACCCAATTCACCTGTACTGCATGTCTTTGGACTGTGGGGGAAACTGGAGCACCCGGAGGAAACCCACACGAAGGCAGGGAGAACATGCAAACTCCACACAGAAACACCAACTGAGCCGAGGTTCAATACAGCGACCCAGCAACCTTCTTACTGTGAGGCAACAGCATACCTACTGCGCCACTGCCTCGCCCCTACTACTAAACAATTATTTTTAAATATATTAATCTATGTTTTGGGTGTCCATTTTTTGCTGTCTTACATTGCTATGTTCTTATCAAATAAAAAGAAACCCCATTTCCCATGATGCACACAAACAGGTCGAACCTGCTTTTCCTGAGCGTTTAAGCACGAGCATTTTGACTGCCGTTGGAGTGGGAATACATTTATGAAAACTTACTTGTACTTAAAAAAAAAAAAAAAAAAAAAAAAAACAATAGTTATGTAGTTTGTATTCACGTGTTTAAGATCCTCGTGAATCTAACAATAAGAACCTCACACAAAAAGGAAACAGAGTTGAAGGTAATCAGACGTTTATAGTTTTGTATTTTAGCATTTCCCTCTGAATTTTAAATGTAAGTAACAGATGAAAATACTTTTCACTGTAGGCTATAAATAATAAAATTTTTGCGCTTTCCAAAGTGAATATCTCTGAATGAATAATACTAGCTAAACATTATATACTTAATTGTTAGTTATCAAGCAGCTGTGTAACATACATCTGTCAGGTGATGTTTTAGAGAGCACTTGTTAACCCTTGTACACTGTTCAAATTGACTACCCTTTTGTTATATTTTGAATAAAATCATCCACTAAATAAAACTGCTGTAAAAATGCATCAGTTTTTTGTGCATAAATTTGATAATCAACCTCTGTCCTGATCAAAACTACTAAATGTTTTTAAAAATTACGTGATTTTAACTCTTCAATTGCCAAGATCATAAATTATGTCACTGATTTCGTGAAAAAATAGCATATTTGTAATATAAAAGGTGGTTGTGGGCTGGATTTATTTATTCATATATTTTTGCTTTTATCACAGTCTTGGACATGTGAACGATTAGTAACAATGTTGGCTTTGATGCATTGTTAGATTTTCGTTTTTTCTCCCTTTACTGTTGGTGGCTTTTTTTGCCCCATTGACTTCTATTGATGAAACATACATTGGGCATACATTTGATAGTGCATATACACACAGTATTTGTTTTTATTTACTGCATGTAGGTCTGAGAACTGAGATGCCTATTTTGATGTTAAGGGAAGTGCGTAAAAGTCACACACTTAGACACAAAAACACACACACTTTAATTTGCTGTTATACTTTATATAAAATCCAGAAGCTAAGCTTTTCTTTGTGCACAGGCTTATTTTACAGGGTTATTGGTGCCAACTGATGATCAACAGTAAAAATTACAAATTTCACCTATTCCCAACAGGGAAACCACCAACAGTCAAAAATGCATGATTATGTGGCATCATGGCTTTTCAATCAAAAGATGTGGTTTAAAAGGAAGACACCAACAGAAAATTAGGAAGAAAAAAAAGAAGAAAAAAATCAATGCATCAAAAGCAATGCTGTTTCACATGTCCAAGACTTTGACAACAGGTACATTATTTTATTTTACTTGTTTCTTTTATTCTTGTTTATGTAAAGCACTTTGAATTGCCATTGTGTATGAAATGTGCTATATAAATAAACTTGCCTTGCCTTGCCTTGCCTTACAAAATTCCAGTTTACACCTAACTTTTATTTTGAAAATACATAATTTTTTAATATATAATATTAATATATATAATAGTTTAATTGAGTGGATGTTTTCAACCCAAACATAATGCAAGGGTAGTAACAGAGTGTATCTTTCTTACACTCTGTAATTTCTTAAAATATGTTTCTAAATAAGATTTTTCACCAAAAATCATTATGCGAGCTGAAACACAGAATAAGTTATGGCTAAATTTAATTGCAGAATCACCCCAGAGTGGATGAAAACATCCACAACAGTATGTGTTAAGAACTCTTTTCCTTTTTTTTCTTTTTTTCACTGAGAGTAATGCTGAACTAACTTATAAAGGTAATAATTCCAGTCCCACAACATTGAAATTACAATCCCCCTTTTTTTTTTTCAATAATAGTAGATGCTTTTATTTGATGGTAAAAAAGGGGGGGGGAAATCAAAAGGCTCAATCAATAGTGTGCCTGTTACATCACAGGAATGTATAAACAGTATGGTCAATACATGCCCACATTGCCCAGAGCACTTCAGAGGCTGTAGTGCAGGAACAAAAGATAGGTTCTCTCATATGCACAGAAATGTTTTATTTACTGTAAGGGTTAGTTTAGCCTACCCAAAAAGGGGAATTCTGTCATAATTTAATCAGAATCATCCTTCAAACATGTATGACTTTTACTTCTGTAGAATATACTTATTTAAAAAAAAATAGTAAGGGTGTTGTTACCGCTGACTTAAATTGTATGGACAGAGATTTCTTGAAATATTTTTTATTTTTCCACAGAACAAAGAGTTGGAATCACAAAAAGGTGAGTAAAGGACAAGAGAATCTTTATTTACAGTTAAATTGACTTGAATTGTATGAACAAAAATACAAAAAGCTTCTCTTTTATGTTTTATTTTATCTTACGTTAATCTAAACCTTTACGTCTAGTGAACTTTATTAACATGAAATATGTATATTAATTGCCATTCTCATTCATTCATTCATTGTCTTGTCGGCTTAGTCCCTTTTTTATTAATCCGGGGTCGCAACAGCGGAATGAACCGCCAACTTATCTAGCAAGTTTTTACGCAGCGGATGCCCTTCCAGCCACAACCCATCTCTGGGAAATAATTGCCGTTCTCATTTAATACAATAATGACTTTGCATTTTCTTGGGTTTGTAACTTCTCCAGCAGTTTGATTTGATTACGAATTTAAATCACAGCCCTGACAACATTATTTTTAAACATTTTATTGTCTTTTAAAAATATTTGCATGATTTTATATATATTTTTCTTTATTTTGTCTAGGCATGACGAAATATTCAAGCTGTCCTGGCCAGCTGCTTATTCAACTATGTGCAGCCCATGTGCAGTCTGCCTAAAACAGTCTGCTTTCTGCTCACAAAATACAAATATTTTACAGAGAACTTTGTGCATAAGAATGCTGTGAAGATGTACCAAATTGTATCAGCAACTGTTGGAGATATTGGCATTGGTGCCATAAGCCGTTGCCCACCACCTAAGAAGAAGAGAGTTGGCAGACCAAGCCGCCCAGTCATAAAAGCAAGTGCACTAGGAGCCATACTTGTTTTTGCTGCTATAGTGGCATGGTGTGACTACTCTGCCTCTTTTCACAAGGCCAGTTGTCTGACGACTGAACGATTAGACCTTAACAAGGATGGGTTTGCTATCAGAAATCAAGCTGGGGTTGTCATATTTAAAATGGCATTCAGGTACGCTTTTTAAAACAGTCTTGTTTATTTGTATTCACATGGTTGTGATTAGAGTTCACACTGTTTCTTATTGTGCATTTTAGGTCTGGAACCCTAGATCTGGACTCCTGTTTGAAAGAGGGACAGATTCTCAGTTGTGACAAGTCCAATTCAGGGAATGTACATTTCTTCATTGAAATGGTGAAGCCTAAAGACACAGTTGAGTGCTATCGTGTCCGCTGGGATGAGTTGAATGAGCATGGGTCTGTAGAGCATGTCATGTCCTGCGGTGCATCACATTGGTATGGTGGTGCGGAGATGTGGTCACAGCATTGGCCAATGGTTTTGAAAGGACAACATGCACCCAAACCTTTCATAACAGGTGATATCAAAACAAATCATCAGGCATTTGGTGGCATCTTAGAACGCTACTGGCTTTCTTCAAATGCTACAGCAATAAAAATTAGCGATTCTGTTCCTTTTCATCTAGGCTGGGATGAAACAAACAGAACTCTGTGGTTTCAGGCTCGATACAATGACAGTCCTTACAGACCTGACCCTGGTAATCCCCATCGTGTAACACTAAGCTACCGTGTATGTGTTGGGCCTGATGTCACTTCTTTACACAAGTACATGGTCCGTCGATATTTCAACAAGCCCAATAAGGTTCCATCAGAAGCTGTTTTCAAACAACCAATCTGGTCTACAGGAGCTCTAGAAGAAGTCAACCAAGAAAGTGTTTTAAAATATGCTGCTGATATCCAAAAACATGGCTTTAATTGCAGTCAATTGGAGCTGTATGATAGATATCCCAGTGGCTATGGGGAGTTTGAGTTGGATCCTATTAAGTTTCCCAATGCTTCACTCATGTTTCAAAAATTAAGGGAAGCTGGCTTCAAGGTAACCCTGTGGACGCATCCATTTGTCAACTATAATTCTGTCAATTTTGGTGTCGGAGTAGAACGAGGACTGTTTGTACGTGTACCTGGTAGCCAACTTCCCGCTTTGGTGAGTTGGTGGAATGGTATCGCTGGCATTTTGGATTTCACTAATCCTGAAGCTCGGGACTGGTATACTTTGAATCTCTGCAACCTTAAGAATAAATACGGAGTGGAATCTTTCAAGTTTGATGCAGGAGAAACAAGCTACTTACCTCAGCAGTTCAGTACTTTTGTTCCTTTGCATGATCCAAGTACTTTTACCCGACGCTACACTGAGATGGCAATACCATTCAATGATCGTGGAGAGCTGAGGTCAGGCTATCAATCTCAAAACATCTCCTGCTTTTTCACAGTTGTTGACCGAGACTCTGTATGGGGATATACCCTAGGCCTCAAATCTATAATCCCAACTGTCCTTAGTGTCAGTATTCTAGGCTATCAGTTTATCCTGCCAGATGTAATAGGTGGAAATGCATATTCAAACCTCACTGTTCCTCCAGATCGGGAGCTGTACATCCGTTGGCTAGAGCTCTCAGCATTCATGCCAGCCATGCAGTTCTCGCTTCCACCATGGCACTTTGATGATGAGGTAGTGAATATTGCAAAGAAGTTCACCACTCTACACCAGTCTCTTGTAGCTCCTCGAGTTCTAGAGCTTGCTGGGGAAGTTCTGTACACTGGTGATCCCATCATTCGCCCTCTTTGGTGGATTGCTACAGATGATGAGGCTGCCTACAAAATTGACTCTCAGTTCCTCATAGGAGATGACCTTCTTGTGGCACCTGTACTTGAACCAGGAAAGCAGGAAAGAGATATATACCTTCCTGCGGGTAGATGGAGAAGTTATAAGGGAGAGTATTTTGATAAAGGCCCAATGCACCTTACTGATTACCCAGTAGACTTGGATGAACTTGCTTACTTTGTGTGGGCAGGATAATTAGAAGTGGATAGGGCATTGGTATTAACAAAGCTCATAGACATGACTCTACTCACACTCATTTACGCACTAGCTATGTTTTCATCTAAAGATGCAAATTAAATTTATGAGTATCTCATATAAGACATCAAATAAAGCAGCGTTTCCATCCAAGTAGTCAAAGAGAGCAAAATCTTCACTTCCTGATAAACTGAAAACAAATATCAAAAGTAAAAACGGAAATTGCTGCGGTGGGAGAAGCTGAATCATTTCTTTATTTAATAAATTGTCTACACAAAAGGAGACAGAATGCCAAAACGCAATGAATGTGTGGTTATGTTTAAAGGCATGAGACATGGAGCACAGACGCTCTTGACAGTTCTGGAGGTAATTAATAAAATAATGACACTAATATTGTAATGGTTAAGGCATTTTAGAATGACCAAAACAACATTTCAGTTGTTTTACAATGCAGTCAACCCGCTTGTTTATCCATTCTTACACATTTTTATCATCACATGACCTTTAATAACAAAATCACATGATTTTTAATGTACTTTTTTTGAAATACATAAGTTTGTACAAATTTGAATCAAAAGTCATGCACATGATTTTTTACGTGCATTTTTAAAATGTATGCACATCTTGGCATTTCCATTAACCATTTTTTTATTGTGCATAACCAAAATGCGCATAAAAATAGGTGGTGGATGAAAACATAGGTACTGACTTTTAAATTGAATGTTTATTTATATGGATAGCCTCATCAGAGGCATGCCTTAGGCATAGCCTTGTATAAATTGTCTTTGTTGTGGTTGTGTAATGCTGAAGACTCTTCAGTAAATAGATTGTAAGATTTGAAAAAGACCTGTTGAGTGAATAATAAATTATAAATATAAATATGCAATCATTCCCTGGTATGGTGTTATGTGTGTGGCTTCGTTTTTTGTAATGTGTGAATTTATCTTTAGAATATAGTGTAAAACCAGTGCATTATTGTTTTAAAGCAAAGCTGTGTGCAAGGAACTTGTTAAACTTATTTTGACTTATTTTGTAAATTGTCTGTAGTGCACCATTTGACATGCAGATGTAGTGGTAAAAAACTTTTTAGTAAGGTTGTAATGCTATATATATATATATATATATATATATATATATATATATATATATATTTTTTTTTTTTTTTTTTTTTCATTTGTTCCCCACAGTGTTGATATGCATATATGACAAATGATTACATTCTACATTTTTTTATATTTGATTATTCATTTAACTATAAAATTTTTGTAAGGATTTATTGTTCCAAATGCAGTTATAATTTATTTTATTTTAATTTTTTTTACTGATCAACTCGAATAATTGAATAAAAAGCAGATCTTTCTGCTTCTGTGTCTTAGAGAATGTATTACAAGTAGGTGTTTGGGTATTGATCTATAAATGATTATATATCTATATTTGAACGTGTTAGCTTATGAACATACAGTAAAGGTTATAAAATGCATTTTATACACTTACAATTCACAGCATATATAAGTACACTCCTTACAGATCTCTCTTTCAAATTATTATTTTATGTACGATGTTTTTAAATAATATATTTGTTCATACACATTAGATTAATAAGTTCTGAAGCCAAATCTAAAGCTGTTCTAACAAAATAACTTATTTTAACAGTCTCACTGTTTTTACTTGATATTTTCAAGACACTTCTATACAGCTTAAAGTGACATTTAAAGGCTTAATAGGCTAATAAAGGTGAACTAGGCAGGTTAGGGTAATTAGGTAAGTTATTGAATAACGTTGATTTGTTCTGTAGACTATCGGAAAAAAAATAGCTTTAAGGGGCTTATAATTTTGTCCCAAAAATGTTTTTTTTTTTTTTTTTAATTAAAGACTGCTTTTATTTCTAGCCGAAACAAAAGAAACAAGATTTTCTCCAGAAGAAAAAAATATTATCAGACACACTGTGAAAATTTCCTTGCTCATTTAAACATCATTTAGGAAATATTCAAAAAAGAAAAAATAAATAAATAAAGGGGGCTAATAATTCTGACTTCAACTGTATGTATATATATATATATATATATATATATGTATATATACATACATACATGCATACATACATACATATATATATATATATATATATATATATATATATATATATATATACAACTAACTTATTTTCTGCCTGTTCCATGGTGTAATGGAAAGCCCTCTCTGTAGTTCAATCCTCAGTGGGACATTCATAAAGTTTTGAGTTTTTAACAGGACCCATTCTTAAAACACTACATTGAGCATATGTACATTGAGTCTTGTTCATGGAATGTAGTTGTACTGATATGGACTACAATAATAATTACAAATCCTATAGTTGTCTTCACAGATGGAAGAATGACATTATTTGCGTGGTGAATAGATAGGGTTGACATTAGGCTTTCAAGATGCAAATTCAGCATAATTTGGCAGGGTGCATTTCTCGGAACATCATTGGTAATTAAAGTTTAAACAAAGAGCACAATTGAATAAGAGAAACAAAGAACGGGCTCGTCCGGGATTTGAACCCGGGACCTCTCGCACCCAAAGCGAGAATCATACCCCTAGACCAACGAGCCGATACGAAAATTGTGTTACACTTCTTATTAATACATAATCTTATGCCTTATCGGATGAAAGGCAGTCTTAACGATCGAGCTGGGAAATTGATCCTGTCGAGTCGCATTTTATTTATGTAGCTGATCTGAACAGGGTACTTATTTTGACAGACTAAACAAGGCTGTCTGAACAGACATAGCTAAACATGTGTTCCTATGTTTGTATTTTACATGTAAAAGGCTCCGGCACGTTTAACAAGTTATCTTTAAAACGACTTTGTTTATTTAATCAACCTTAGGTTATATCATCTTTATAAAGCAATCCTTTAAACGGTGTTGTTAAACGAATCAACCAGCAGATGGCACTTCTGCCACGTCAACATCAAAACTACCCAGGCTGCGTGCATTCTAATTTGTTCATTTTAATTCAGCTAACAATACGTTTGTGCGTGTGTCTGTGTTTTGTTTCAAGAGATGTTAATCAGTGGTTTTGTGAGGAAAAGATATAATGATGGCTGAGGTTATGCAATAAACCTTTAAGTTTAAAAATGGCTATCTAATGTTTTTCACATTTGATTTCAATGTATCACTGCACGACTGATTTGATCTTTTTATTAAGATTCTTACCACTGTAAAAAAAGAACAAAAAACTCCAAGCTGAATCTTTTATAACTTACAGAAAGGTTGATTAACTTATTTATCTTAAACATTATTTCCCAGAGATTGGTTGCGGCTGGAAGGGCCTTTTGTAATTTTGCTGCGTATACAATTACATTAGTTTGCTAGCACATGCAAAAGTATGTTATTTTAAATGAACTAAAGATATGTTTTTGTGACTTTTATTGATAATTTTTTTCCAGTCCATGCATTTTATTTTTATTAAGTAGGTTGCTTCAACATGCAAAAACAAAACTTGACAAACATGATAGCTGAAACATTGTGTATAGTTTTTTGCTCCTGAAAAAAAAAAATTTTTTTTTTCAATGTTTTCTGTTTTCACAATTCCTTTTACAAAGTCATGCATACTACAGTGTGTATGGTTTTAAAAGTAAGTAAGATTCCAAAAAAGGTGTTTTAAATCATAGCAACATGAAAGATGGCATCCACAAATTCTGACAAGAGCTATTTCTTTCATTTGAGGAAACCGATTGCAACAAACCATTTAGGTAAAAAAAAAAAAAAACTAATCCTAATGAGTACCGTGAATTTAATCCATTTGAGTAAATTTGAGCAATTTGAGCACAGTAAAACCCAATAAATGAAGAGAACTCAAACCAACTGAGTACTGTAAAACCCAATAAGTTAAGGCAACTCATATGGTTTGAGGAAACTGATTGCAAAAACCATTTGAGTTTAAAAAACTGACCTATATGAGTAGAGTACTGTGAACTTACTCCATTTGAGTTGAAGTAATGAGGCATTTAACTAACTTATTATCTTCAACACTAAGTTCAAAACTCTTTTTAAATGAGTAGAATTAACATTCAGTGAATTTTGAGTTAACTACACTCATTTAATTTGATAAAGTTGACTGTTGGGTTTTATAGTGTTCTAGTAAACATCTTTTTAATGTAAACAATTGTTTTATTCCAGCATACAAAAAGCCTTTAATGCATTCAAAACATTTAGTTTTAAGAGTGCAGATAGCTTCTCTTAGCCCATGCAGATAAAGAAGACTGTACTGTCTGCTCTGCTTTTCAAAAGCTCTCCTTTTGCCGGAGAACAAAGAGAAAGCTGACCAATCTCATCTAGCTTCACAAAGCGGAAACAAAAGGACACAAAACAAGAGATTTGACCAACCCCAACACGGCAGCAAAATATTTCAGCTTGCTGGTGCCAAGTGTACGGTTCACTGTCCGGTCACATGAATCTGTCAGTTTAGCACGTCTAAAGCAGCAATCAGCACCTCGCTCCTGTGTGGATGCCACAGCTCGAGGCCCCAAACATTGCCTGGCTCATTATTCCCTCAGGAAGGTCACGGCCCTACCCGTCAGACCGGAACTGGCCCACTAATTAAGCACGCTGTTTTGGCACTGGACGTGTCATGTCTGAAGGACGTTTTATTGGGATTAAAGCTGCTCATGTTCATTTTTCATAAGTGGGCAGTCGAGCAGATTTGCACCAGGGCCTCCTTCTTTTCTTTTAATTTTTTTTTTCAAGAGCAACACTTCAAGTCCCTGCTATATAGACCAAAGGGTGCCAGTTGGTTTTAATAATGCTATCCTGAAGAGACACAGTCAGTGTTGTGGTGCTGATCTGTTGCCGATGCTCAACCATGCAGGGGGAAACATGAGGGAGGAGATGTTTTTCTTGTTTGAGGCACACAGTGTCTGGTGTGATGTGGCTCTTGAATCCCCCAGCATCTGGAAATGTATCCTGTTATTGATTGCATCTCCTGTCTCTCTTTCTCTCTGCATCTGCGCACAAGAGAGATGTGCCAATTACTGTTTGTAGGCCCACAAGCTTGGCCTAGTTAGTGCAGTGCAGGTTACAGAGGTTTGGAAATAAATAATTAATTTGAGAACTTTTGGACAAAAAAATATAATATTATTGCTTGCAAAAGTTGTTTACATGTCCCTTGCACAATAGGCAAAACGATTCAACAAACAATTGCTGTTTTGTATTTAGTACTTTCCGGAGTAAGCTATAAAAGCATACTAAAAATAATCTTTTTGAAAGTTTATATATAATACTTACCTGTTCTTACATCTGAAGGTGGTACTAAATGAAAAAATGTAATTTACAAGAAGAAAAGGTGCATTTACACAAAAAGAAACTTTTTAAAAACAATGTATTTGATGTTTTATATTTACTGAAAATAAATTGACACATTTTGAATATAGAAAAAAGCCTTTAAATAGTTCATGAACACACACTATTAAGGTACAAAGTGTCTTGTCGCTGTGGTGGTACCTTCATGGATCATATTTTAACCTTATTTTATTTGCAGGTTTCAAAAACGAAATGTACATTTTGGTTTCCCTTGGCACAAATCATGTCCCTAAAGGTACAAACTGCAATGGTACATTTTTTTTTCTTTGTCTTAAGGTACGATTCTGTTCCATAAAAAGGCACTG